AGGTTCCAAATCCCCTTTCAAGTTACTAATTTTTGGACGCAAGTTCTAAACTGTATGGACACCAGACAGTAAAAATGGCATTGACATAAAACTGCCCTTGGTCTTGTATGACAAGTTCTTGTAGTACAATATTGTACTACACATTTAAAACCATGCAATATTGTCATTTATGTTCAATATGTAAAGTCTTACATATAGGTTGTAACGTTCAAGACATATTCCTTATGAAAGAGAATAACTTTAAAATATATTGTTGTTTTATTCTAGAATGGCTGTCATTTTCATGGTAATCTACTGTATACCTGTGCTTTTGGATTTGGTAAGCCTGCTAGCAGTGTGACCTTGTTCAGTACTTCAATTTATGTTTTCATCTTTAGAAGTTCCAGGTAGCTTATGAGCCAGTGAATGTAAAATACTGGAATACATCTTAAAACAAATGCATTTCCTTTATCAAGTAAGTAGAAAATATCAGCTTCATATAAGGTGCAGGCCCTAAACTGTAAGGGCATAATAAAATAAAACCTGAAACTCTTTGGTTGATGTTATAGTTGTTGCTTTCAAACCGAAACCTAATAAATGTTGCACTTGGTTGCAAGTTTCTTAAGAGAATGTAAATCAACAAGAGAGTTTAAGCACTGAATTTAGTATTCCTTTTTCAGTACAACAAATGTTAATGCCTTTTTAAAAGGGAAACTAAAAAATTTAATCCAATAAGGTAGCACTGTTTTCTGCCCCCACCCCAAAAAATCAGAACAAAGATCAGGAGAGCGACTAAAGGGGAAGACGTTCTCCAGCCCAAGCTTCATTGAAATAATTGGGTGCACTGCTATGCACCTTTATGTTCTTTTCCAGCACTCATCATTTGAGAAAGCAAAACAGAATGTGTTTTCTACATGCATAACCTCATAATTCTAATACAGTATAGAGACACCTAGAGGTTAAGTGATGGAAATGCAAGAAAGAAAAAGCTTTTTGTCTTGAGTGCAGACCTCGATTTAGAAGAAACCAAAAGTGGATAAATGACCTTGTGCAGAAGAGCTCTGCAGATGGACCTAGTTAAATAGGGACTGGTTTGATTCTTAACGCATGAGCTTCAAAGGAGGATATTGAGGCCATGCAGAGATTGCATTATCCGTTCCTTTTGCACATATAAGTCAATTACTATCCAATGCCTTGCTATGCATATCTGACTGTATAGTGTGAAGGTGACTGTTGACTCATCTTAGAATGCATATGGGGAATATGTTATAACAGAACAGAATATGAAAGCCCTCCAGAGATATAATTCTGCATCAAACTCCCAGTGATTAATGAAATGTTGAGATTGTTTTTTTCATCCAGCATTTACATCAGAACAAGCCCTTGCTAGTTAAAAAGTGCTTAGCTAGTGCACACACAGCCCTCTCACAGTTCAGAACTAGCCAGATCAGCAGACTTTATGAGAGGCTCTGTGGCCACTGATCGCCTGGAATCAGCCTTTCCTGGTGATTGTTCCAAAGTTGTGGAACCTTTGCTGTGAAACTAGACAACGTGTTAATTGCGTGCAGGAGTTTGACATGCCTGATTTACATTTCTGTTTTTCAGTTGGGGTGGATCAGGGCATTACATGCTGAGATGTCTTAGTCCTTGGATATAAGCCACAATCTCCACAGTGGGGGGCAGTTGATTTTCATGAGGACTTGAATGTAGGTGGAACTGTGATGTAGCACAATTCCAATCCAGATTGCCCTCCCTGTGTCATTGCTGTCTATATGGCAAAAACAAAACATTGGCATTAATTTAATGTATCATCTGGTTTGGCTTTAGGAAAACCCTCTTTTGGTTATCTTTTCAGAGGGGGTGCAAGACATGTTACCTCTGGACAATTTGGATTTGTTTGGCTGTTTTCCAAAGAAAAATTGTCTGGGAGAGTGTCTACCTGAACAGTGGGATGCATGGATGGAGGGCTATATATATATATGGGGGGGGGGGAGAGAGAGAGAGAGAGAGAGAGAGAGAGAGAGAGAGAGAGGGAAATTATTTTGATGATGAATTTTGTTTGTGTGGAGCAATCCTATGGAATGGTAGGGTGATGGAGAAACTGCTACTTCCTACAAGTAGAGAAAGCTTCTTTCTACCTTTTAAAAGAAATCTGTTTTCTGTTGTTATTATAATTAATATTATTTCCCTTTCCACTGGGTCAGTAGGTAGGGAAATTACTACTTTAAGAATAATTTCTACTGATATACATACCCCCCCCCCTGAAGAAGATTAGGAGACAGAATACCCGGAGAAGGGCCTTCTCTGCGGTGGTGCCCCGGCTATGGAATGCGCTCCCGAGAGAGGTGATATATATATGATTTTCAGCGCCAGGACAAGACCTTTTTATTCATGCCTTATTTTAATGTCTAAAAGATTTTAATTATGATTTCAGTCACGGGTTGTTAGTCTTATTATTGTTTGGG